GTCCGTCCGTCCGTCCGTCCGTCCATCCATCCATCTACCCATCCATCCATCCATCCATTCATCCATCTATCATGTTCAATCCCCCCTAGACTGCGAGCGGTCCCACTTTTCCCTCCAATCTCAGTAAAGGCAAGTGTTTTGGAAGTCCTGTGGACGCATGTAGATTGAAGCCAAGTAAGCATGGAGAAGGGAAAGGAAAAGGACCCTACTTTCCAACCACAACCAAATAAAACACTTGCCTTTACTGAGTTTGGATGGAAAAAAAGGACCACTCGCAGTCTATCCCCTCATAACAGCTATTTCTAGCAACTCACTTCTCAAAGTGCCCATACTTATATTTTCTTCAAAACAATATTTTTTATTATTATTTATAGTGTGGTCATCCTGTTAGCCAAGAAGATATGGCAGGCACCTTATCAACCTTCTCGTCAAGTGTCATACATGGTTTAGATTGGTTAGGTATCACAGGATCAAAGGAAGAATGTGATGGATACCAACATTTATGGAAGTATGTTGGTTATCATTTAGGTAGGTTATAGATATTTATTTTTAAAATATTATTTGTGCATAGAGTGTAATGCTAAATCTCTTTGGATTGGATTGAATTTATAGTTCCATCTCAAACAATAGGGAAACGAATCACCTTTCGCAGCAGTTTTCTGTCCCACAAACAACTACACAGTATCTGTTTTAAAGAGTACTGCAAGGATAACTAGGCAATTTCCATTTACTTTCTCAGGACATGAATTACTTGAATCAATTTGTGATTCATTCATCCATCCATCCATTCATTCATTTATTTATTTCTTTGTTTATTTTTTTTATTTAATTGGTCAAAGCTCATTTAAGATTTAATTTCCGCAATCAGAGTTTCAAATTCTGAGATATCGTAGCTAATTTGTTGAGTTTGTGGGACATAGCAACAGTAACTAAGGGGAGTCGGAACTATGAACTAGATTGTATCTATAGATGTCATCAGTAGATATGAAGTACCAATCCTGCACCCGGTGCCACCGGTGCGAACCGGTGCTCTCCCCCAGACCCCACTCCGGGCCCGTAATAACGGTGACGTATTCTATAGTGAGGTTCCAATCCTACGCCAGGTAGATCGTGGATCAGGCGGTTCTACGCCACCTGAATGAGGTTCCAGTGAGGTTCCAATCCTGCACCCGGTGCCACCGGTGCGAACCGGTGCGAACCGGTGCTCTCCCCCATACCCTACTCCGGACCCGTAATAACGGTGACGTCATGGCTATTCTTACTACCCCGTGTTTCTAGCCATGTCTATTCTTAGTTTGCTGGATTGCACCACATCCTATATTTTACGTCAAAGTTTGATCCTAATAAAATGTTCTGATCTAATTA